AGAGGGTAGACCAACTGTAAATGTTGCTCCTCTTCCTGTCACTAAGTTCCTTGAGGGCAAGGAGGGGATGGGATGCTTCTCTTGATTCTGCACACAGCTGCCAGCACAGAGAAGTGCACACACCTGTCTGTGGCCCTAGATGTGCCTGCTGCCTGCATTTCGTCAGGACTCTGGATTCTCCTTTTCAACCTGAAAACAGCTCGTTTCTAATTACTCATCCACAGGAAGCACAGGCAAACAGATCCCCAGAAGTCACTTGGGACTGAGTTTCAACACTTTTGTTTCACACAGTTTCAGCACTCGCAGCAGCTGCAGCTGAAGACCATAGGATTTCAGTGAAAAGCAGCTGGCTCCCTCCCCAACCCCTCTGCCCGTAGGCTGCTGTGGTTAGCACTGCACTCAGAGAAAGAATAAATACAAAGCAAAAGCCCCCGTTGTTCTAAGATAACCACAGAGATGAGGGATGCTGTTGCATGCAAACCCTGGGGGAGAAGAGAGAGAAACAGCAACATTACAAATCCAACAAAGCATGGTGACAAGAAGCCTTGGTGGGCAAGTCCTATAGCTGAGGTGTGATTTCAGAGATCAGATGGAATGTGCCCTCTTGGTCCCACCATTCCCTAACCCCTGCACTCTTCCTCTTTCAGCTGGCTGGGTTTAGAATTTCTTCAGCAGGGAAGAGGATTTTGCCCCGCTGGAAGAATGCTAATTCTCAGGGTGAGTGTTCCTTTGGGAGACCCCCCGCCCCCAGCTTACAGGATAAACAAATGGCCAGGAATGAGAAAAGCTGAGGTGGAGCAGCAAAGGGAGGGAAGGTTCCTTTGGCCCACCTTTCAACCCCGAGTAGGCTCCAGAGAGCTGCCAGTTGTGGTCATGCTCATCCTGGGCTGCGGGCAGAAGGATGGCTCAATACCTTAGCTCACAGCCACCACTTCTGGGCCCCACTTCCTTCCTTCATCAAGTAGTGTAAAATGACGAGGACCCAAGACAACTGGACCCAAGACAACTGGAAGCCACTCGCTTTGTTGTTCATGGTTGCTCCATGGTATATTTGTCTCTTTTGTCACATTCTGGACACAACCCAACGCATCCATGTCACCAGCACCACATACACCTGGTGGCACTGCAGCTTTCTGTTGACCTACCTGAACTAGCCTCCAGGCACCAGGCTTATCACTCACACCAAGCACAGTGCCTGGCATTCAGAAGTTGCTCAATACATGTTTTTGGATCGAAAGAGCAAAAAGGGCAGGGGAGCCAATTCCACTCTATAAAATGGGAAAAAAGATCAAGGAACAGCCGTCATGTTAGTTATGAGACCACACACGCATTGTCACCCACCTTCTTCGCAGCATGGAGCCATCTTGCCTGTTTTCAGAGCTGCTTTTATCTTTGTCATGACTGTCATCTCCACAGCATCAGTAGTGACAAACTTAGCAGGTGAGAGGCATAACTGTAAACCACACCTTTTTTAAAAATACTTTGGGGCCGGGTGTGCTGGCTCACGCATGTAATCCCAGCACTTTGGGAGGACGAGGCAGGCAGGTCATGAGGTCAAGAGATTTGAGACCATCCTGGCCAACATGGTGAAACCCCGTCTCTACTAAAAATACAAAAATTAACTGGACGTGGTGGTGCGTACCTGTAGTCCCAGCTATTCGGGAGCTTGAGGCAGGAGAATCACCTGAACCTGGGAGGCAGAGGTTGCAGTGAGCCGAGATTGCATCACTGCACTCCAGCCTGGGTGACACAGCGAGACTCTGTATCAAGGAAAAAAAAAAAAAAAACTTTGGAAGCAGCACGATAGATTGGCTAAAATGTCAGGTTCTAGTGACAGAAAAACCTGGGTTCTGATCCTAGTTCTGTGTACGAGTTATGAGTCTTGGTGAAGCCACTTCACTCTGCTACTGTTTCCTTGTCTGGAAAAGGGAGATAGTGCTACCAGTGCTTTGGGGGCTCTGCTGAGATAATCCATGTAATAGAACAACACTTCTGACTGTCTTGTATTTCACTTTTATTGCTGGTCTCCATGCAGCTACTCACACAGTGCACAAAAGCAAGAAGAGGGACGGGTTCTTTCCCTTCCACTTTTCAGCTCCTGAGACAAAAGCCTGGACATAGCAAGGCAGGGGCTGCAATCTCAAGCATACAGAAGAGTAACAGAAATGGGCCGAGTGGTGAGGGGCCGATGAAGAAGCAGAATGGCTTTCATATCGAGTCTGCCCTCCTCCCTCTGCTGGAAAAAGACAGCCTCCTTGGTTTTCAGTTTCCCCCTTGAAGAGACATGAATACATGAGTGATTTCCCTTCCTCCTTAATACTCTATGAGGGAAACAGCACAATGTTGCCAGATGGCAGTCAACGCTCAGGCTGAACGCAAGAGGGTCAGCAAGAGGTGGTGGGGAACATGCCAGAGTGGGGCAGGGAGGTCTCTTTAAAAGGACAGCTGCTACCCAACCCAACCAGTTGTCCACATGTTAGAACCGAGTGTTTCCAGTTCTTCTGATTATTCAAAGATTTTTCAGAATTTTTAAATGTTACACACGTTCAGGGTCAACACGAAATGGCAGGTTTATTCTGTGCAGTGTTTCTTGTACAAAAAATGACTAAAAACAACCTGTGTTCATCAGTAGGGGATTGTTAAATTATGGTAAATCCATACAACGGGATACTACACCCCTGTAAAAAAAGAATGAGGAAGCTCCCCACATACAGAAAGGGAAAGATCACCAAGATAAATTAAGTGAAAAAGGCAAGGTTAAACATAGTGTGTATAGTCTGCTGTAATTAGGTAAGAAGTAGAGGGATGGAGGCAGATATATATTTGTACTGACTTTTATCTGCAAAAAGGAATCCTGGAAGGTTGTATAGGAAGCTAATAAAAGTATTTACAGGGGACGGGCAGGGCAGGACTGGCCACTGGAGGCAGGGATAAGATTTCACTGAATACCTTTCTATAGCGCTTTAATTTTTGAACCACGCAAATGTATTGCCTATTTGAAAAATAATACAAAAACACTGTGTACATCAGCTACTGGGAAGAAAACACATCTACGGGCTACGAACAGCCTGCAGGCTTCTGGGCTGGAACCTTCACGTTAAGGGCTCCAAAACTGCAGAGGCAGAAAAGTTGGCGGCAGTGGGTCCCAGCTTTACTAGGTTTTGAGACAAGTAGGTTGTTCAGTGTCTGGTGTCTGGAACTCTCTCTGGATTGCCTGGCAATGCGCTAGTTGAGCCCAGCAGCCCCCACCACCTCTAGGGGGAAAGCGACGAACTCCCAGCCTCTCTGGGAGAGACGGCTCCAAAACTCAACTTCCCGGGAAACTGAGGAGATCCAAGGTCTCCAGCTGCTGGGCAGACAGAATTTCCGGGCATTCCTCGACAGTTAAGGCTGCCTGGAACCCCAGTGGTGTGTTCCCCTCATCAAGGCTGTGTCCCACTTGTCCCATACAAAGGAGAGCGACAGGTGGGTGTGGTTCCTCCTCTGGAGCATGGCATCCAATGCGTCCGGCTGGGCCCAGCTCAGCACACCTCCCTAGGGACTGCTGAGCGCAGAGGACATGCTCCCCTGCTGACACTGCTGCCAGTCACTTCCAAGCAGCATCACGGAACACCGTGCATATTCATCCCGGCCCTTCGTATGTCCCTAGTCTTGTCACTGTGAATGAGCTCACTGAGTGTTTTGGTTTGAACTGTGATCTCCACATTGAAGTCCTAACCCCCAGTACCTCAGAATGTGACCTGCTTTGGAAACGGGGTTGCTGAAGATGTAAAGAGTTAAGATGAGGTCACACTGGAGTACGGCGGTTCCTAATATGGCTGGTGTCCTTATAAAAATGGGAACATTTAGAAACACACAGGGAGAATGCCATGTGATGATAAAGGCAGACATTGGAGTGATGCAGCTGCAAGTCAAGGAAGATCAAAGTCTGCCAGCGATTCTGACGATTTTGTCAGAAGCCAGGGCGAGGCAAAGAGAGGCCTCCTGTATACCAGAGGGATCATGGCCCTGCTGACACCTTGGCTGCAGACCTCTAGCCTCTAGAACTGGGAGACCTGACATTTCTGTTAATCACCCAGTTAGTGGCACTTTGTTAAGGCAGCCCTAGGAAACTCACACACTCAGCAACCTCAGCCAACTCAGATGGCAAAAGTACCCACCACCGCTCCTCCTCAGCAGGTACCGACAGAAACTGGTGACAACCCTGCTCCCATGAATGAAGATTCTGGGACCTGGCCCGGTCAAGTTGATTGTGTCGGAATCCATCAAATACTCAACCAATAAACAATGGCTGAGTACCCGACCTTGTGAAGAATGCAAGAGAAATAAAATATTCCATTACTGCCCTCAAGGAGTTGATAATTTGAAGATTCAAGAAAGACACATGTAATAATGGCCAAATTAGTATTATTTTCCCCCAACCCTCACCCATGACCAGCAGATGCCACAGAAGTCACTCCTAACTAAATTGCACTGTGCTCCCAGCTGGATTCAACCTTCTACTGCATCTCATTTCGCTGTTCCCTGCATGTGTCTGGAAGAACTGCTTTTTCAGCTCTTCGGGACATTCTTTAGGATGTCAGGCTATTAGACAATTTCCAGAAGTTGTCGCCACTGCTCCTGACATGGAGCCCACACTTCTTGCCCACTGTGGACACCCACTCCTGGCCAGAATTGTCTGCCACCCCCGGTGAAGCCGCTCCCATCAGTTTCTTGTGAGCGCTTTTGTCCCAGTCAGAGAAGCAGACCCTACAGGTTGTTGAGCCTATTCTGCAGCTCTCAATGAATCTGACAAGCAAAAAACATGAGATCCAGGGGGTCTGAGAGCCCACTTTGTTAAGCTGACAGTTTTCAAGCCAGGGGCAGGCTACAGAAAATCAGAGACCCTCAGCAGAAATGCTGCTTTCTTATCTTCGTTCAGAACATTTGTTTGCTTGGCCCAGCCTTCTCGCAGGAGGCTGCTCCCAGCACCCCCTGCATCCAGGAACTCCGATTCTTACCATCAGCAAGACTCGTGTCCAGCCACACGCCTGGCAGGAGAGGAGGCAGCACAGCTGTGTGGAGTTCTCCTGGCACTCCTGCTGAATCCCAACACTCTGGACTCTGGCTCCTGCAGGGTTTTTCTTGTGCTAAGTGCCCAGTGGAGGCTCTGGCTGGGCTCATGGAGGAAGAGTGGCAAGCCGCTGCTGCCGCACCCTTGACAAACAGCCCAATGACCCCGGGTGGCTCCGTGCCAGCCTCCTGAAGGGCAGCTGTGGTCAGGGCATGACCTATGGGTAGAACAGAGAGAGGAAAGGGTTCCTCACTTTGACTTCAAGCAATTCATTTTAGATTATCTGGGTTGGGCTTTGAGGCAGACACTGTTGTCTGCTGAAACAGCATCCATTTTTCCTTTCCTCCTTTCTAGCAGATTCTGTCCACTCAGGACAGTGACCTCCCCAGCTCAGAGGCCTCATCCAGCCAAAACAAAGCAAGCTTCTTGCCAGTGCATAGATTGGGGTGGACTCTACCCGGCCTCTAGTCGTTAAGATGTGAGAGGAGCCCTGCTAGGGGTGCTTGGGGAAGCGTTTTCCCAGCTCTTTTCCTCTGCTGGATGCTGTGCCATCTAATGTGTTGACTAGAACCTCTGCAGCCACTTTGTGACCATGAGGAGGACGCCTGAGGCAGAACAGAAAGAATGAACCCGGGCCCCTGATGACTTCGTTAACCACTGGATCAGACACCACCAATATCATCCTTCCTCCAGACTTCTTATTACACATGTAATAAATATCCTTGTTTAAATCCATCGAGTTGTGGGGGTTTGCTACTCATAGCTAAGATTATCCTAAGTGATGTGCACTGAGATGTTCCTGAGACCACAAGACCACATTCTTGAATCTAATCCCACTATCCTAACTACAACATTTTCAAACTTTCAGGACACACACACACACACACACACACACACACACACACACACACTCTTTTCTCCACCTTTTCATGGTATTCAGTCCTTTTCCTAAACTGGACACATTTTGCCATATTTTCTTTTTTTTTTTTTGAGATGGAGTCTCGCTCAGTTGCCCAGGCTGGAGTGCAGTGGCACCATCTCCACTCACTGCAAGCTCCGCCTCCCAGGTTCATGCCATTCTCCTGCCTCAGCCTCCCGAGTAGCTGGGACTACAGGTGCCCGTCACCACACCTGGTTAATTTCTTTATATTTTTAGTAGAGACGGGGTTTCACCGTGTTAGCCAGGAAGGTCTTGATCTCCTGACCTTGTAATCTGACCGCCATGGCCTCCCAGAGTGCTGGGATTATAGGCGTGAGCCACCGCGCCCAGCCCGTATTTTCAATACATTCTGCAACATATGCCAACTCCATCATTTAATTAAGAAACATTTTTTACCCCCACTGATGTACCAGACACTTTGCGGGGCTCCCGGGACTCAAAATTGAAGTCAGGGACTAAACACGGAAAATGGCATGGAAATTCCTCAAAAAACTAGAAACAGAACTACCATATGATCCAACAATCCCACTTCTAGGTATGTGTCTGAAGGAAACACGATCAGTAGCTCAAAGTGATCCCGCACTCCCGTGTTCACAGCGGCAGTATTCACAATCTCCAAGACATGGAAACAACCCAGGTGTCCATCAACGGATGGATGGATAAAGAAGCTGTGCAGTGTGTGTGCGTGTGCGTGTGTGTGTCTGCGCACGCGCATATACATAAGAGAATATAATTTATCCACAAAAAGAAGGAAATCCTACCATTTGCGACAACAGGGGTGAACGCTGAACCTCGAGGGCATTACGCTAAGTGAGGTAAGCCAGACAGAGAAAAGCAAATTTATGATCTCACTTATATGTGGAATCTAGAACAATTGAACTCAGAGAAACAGAGAGTAGAATGGTGGCTGCAAGGGGCTGCAGGTGGGGAGAACGGGGAAATGTTGGTCCAAGGATACAAAATTGCAGTTATAATGTGGATAAGTGGGTAAGTTCTAGAGATCTAATGTACAGCGTGATGACTTAATACTGTATTGTACACTTGAAATTTGCTAAGAGGGTAGATTTTAAGTGCTCCTGCCACATACGCAAAAATGGTAACTAGGTGGGGTGATGAATGTGTTAACTAACTTTATAAAAAAAATTTTCTCTTTGAATTCTATATTAACCAACTTGATTGGGGTATCATTTCATAACACATACATATATCAAATCATCATATTGGACACCTTAAAATTATAGAATTTTATCTTTCAGTTACACCTCAATGAAGCTGGAAGAAAATGAAGCCTTGCGGAGACACAGCAAGTGAGCCCAACTCCTGGGAAAAAGGCGAGTGCAGGGCGGCAAATGCTAGGATATGGTGCACGCGGGCCTGTGTGGGCACAAAGAAGGGTGCAGAAGGCCTGGGGCTGGGAGGGTGTTAGCAAAACGCTCCTTAGAAAAGAAATGAATTCTTGAGAGGAGACGAGAAAACTGCAAGCAATAAAGAGAAGGAGGCAGACATTCACAACCAAGTATGTAAATAATAATACAAATAACAACCAGCAATGGTGACAACTAACAGTTCCTCACACTTACAATGACCCAGGCAGTGTTTGAAAGTCTTCTGGGTATTAACCCATTTAATCCTCCTCCAAAGCCTGTAAGGTAGTTCAAGGATTGGTCCCTTTTTATGGATAAGTAAACCGAGGCATGGAGAGGTTAAGTGACATAGGAAGTGGATAGCAGAGGCAGGATTTGGACCCAGGCAGTGGAGCTCCGAGGCTCACATGCTTTTTAGGATACACTGGTGGTTCTCACAGTGGCCACCAGAAGAGAAGCCCCTGCAGACCCTGGAAACTTGTTACCAATTCTGATCCTGGGCCTCATCTCGGACCCACAGAGTTAGAACCTCTGCAGGTGAGGCCCAGCATGCCATGTTTTTACAGCAGGCCTTCCTTGTGATTCTGATGTTTGAGAACCCTGCTTGACACTATAAGCCTGAACTGAGAAGGGATGGCATGCTCAGAGGACCATGAATGCTGCAAAGAGAAGCAAAAGCCAGAGGGAAAGACAAGGAAGCTGTGAAGAGGCTTGCACGTCATCCTCAGGAGGATGGGCTTCACTGTATGGGCATGAGGGAGAAAGGTGTGGGGTGAGGCAGGGAGGTGGCTTGATTAGGCTTTGTTCTCTGTGACAAGATCTCTGGCATGAGTGCTAGATGGGGAAGAAGATGGAAGGAGGGAGCCCAGGTAAGAGGTTGATGCCATGACCCCCAACAAGTACAGCAGGGGCTGCACTAAGCTGGTGGCAGTGCAGAGAGAGGAGGGATAGGGACAGATTCAAGAGACAGAGTGTGATGACAGTTGAACATGGGTACTGAGCTGGCAGAGGTATCTAGGATGACTCCATGACATCTAGCTTCAGAGGTTAGGTAGATGGGTGATATTATTTAGCCAGATAGGAAATTCTACAGGAAGAACAAGTTTGGCAAGGAAGAGAATTAGTTCCACTTGGAAATGTTAAGCTTGAGGCTTCTATGGGACATCGGGGTGGAGGCATTTAGGATGCAGTGAGAGAAAGATCTGGTATGCAGGAGTGGGGACAGGGCTGGACATACAGGTGTGGGATTCGCCAGTTGAAATATATAAGGGTTGAAGCCACAGACATAATTAAGGCTGCTCACAGACTGTGCAGAGGGAGCAGAAAAAACTGAGGGCTGGAATCACGCAGGACACTGACATTTAAGGGACACTCAGAGCACATCAGCCAAGGAGGCTCAGAAGCAGTGCTCAGAGAGAAAGCAAAGGAAATAATGTTGTCTCAAAACCAAAGGATGAGAAAAGATGGAGAATGTTTACAGAACTAGAGGTTGACAGCAGGTTCAAATGTTGTAGACATGTCAGACGTTCCAGAGAAGAAACCCTGGACGTATCAATGAGGAGGTCACGGGTCAACTCAGTAATATTATCAATGAGGAGGCCATGGGTGAACTCAGTAACAGCAGTCCCAGTGGAAGGATGGAAGTAGAAGCCAGATTCATTCACAGATGCATTCTCCAATAAGCAACAGCTACCATGTGCCAGGCTTTGTGCTTTGCGCTGCAATAGGGTGATGAACTCAGCCCTTACCAGGTAGTGGAGAGGGGAGAAAGTGGACAGAAATTACAACAATGATTATGGATCACAATTGGGGTAAGCGCTCTGATGAAGACGTGAAGACATACAAAGGGCTTGCTATCGGGAGCCCAAAGCAACAGGACCAACACAGAAGATGAGAGAAAGGAAATTACATTTATGTGGGGTCCACGGGGTGAACAGGAGCAACCCAAGGAAAGATGGGTGGGAAGCGTGTTAAGGATGGGGGACAGCAGGCATAAATATCCTCAGGTAGAACAAGCATTTTTGTGTGTTCAAGAAATGGAAGGAAACCAGGGTGGTGAGAACAATCCTAACGTGGAAGAGAGCGGTAGGAGATGAGGTTGAAGAGTAGGACTTGATGGGCCAGGTTAGAGATTTGGGACTTTATCCCAACAAGCCATAGGAAATCATTAAAGTTAAAAATCTAAAAGGTTGGGAGAGACATGATCTGATTTGCATTTTTTAAAAGATGACTTTGGCTGCTTGTAGGGAGTGAAATTGGAAGAGGAGGGACATGGAGTGGATACATGGAGGCTGCTTGTGGGGAGTGAAATTGGAAGAGGAGGGACATGGAGTGGATACATGGAGGCTGGTTCGGGGAATCATTACAGCTCAGGCAAGAGATGGCAACATCTTGGACCAGGGCGATGGCAGCAGAAGTAGGCACAGGTGAAGAGATTCTAGAGCTATTTAGAGGTGGAATCAAGAGGACTGGGTGGCCAATGGGATGTAGTAAGTGGGGGGAAGGAGCAGTGGAGGCCAGCATGGACTCTGTGGTCCCATCTACATCTATTCTTGGATACTCCCACAGGGCCACTGGGATGGAAGAACACATATCCTTTGAATTCCAAGGCAACAGGTCCTACTGGCTTTTGCAGGGCTCAGATCAGAACTAGAGGAAAAGTCCTACCAAGCCTTCCTCTCCTAAAAGAGCCCCTCATTGATAAAATGATGTCTTCTAAATAGGCCTCCTAGAAATTTCCTCATCTTGTTTGGTGACACTGCTTCTGGTGTCATGTCCTGTGGGGTGGGGTGCCAGGCTGGCCAAGTCCTATGGTGAGTGGCTTCTCATCACAACACCATATGCACTCTTCAGGGCATTCACAAAGTGCATTCAGCACATGTGGGCAATTCTAGGCTCCTCATGTCGATCTCC